CGCAGCATGTTCCTATTTGAAAGCCACTGGTAAAGATAACACCTGCTGTGAATGTCAGAGGGTCTCCCACTCCCTCTCTTTAAGAGATCATTTTAAAAAAAGATGTAGTTCTCTCAAAACATAACTCCAGCTGTGAGGGCAAATGTGGGCTTAGATAAAAGGAAATAAGAGCGTGACAATGAAAAAACGAGTCCTAGAGTAATTGCTATGTATTTAAATATGGTAGCTGGTAAAATTTATCTAAAATAATGATCTGGGCTACTGTACAATATGCCCTCCTAGAGAGAAGACAATGGAACATCTTCTGTCACTTCAGGCAGACATTTTGCTGACTGAGTAAATTTCAGAGTTTTCAGGTTGGTTTCATAAAGCAAACACCAGGAAAAAAAATGTTGCACCTTAAACAGGGTCTTAAACATAGACAGGGTATGTCAGCATGTCAGCAAAGAACCAGATACAAATCTAAGTTTTGCTGCCACTGGTCTTTAGGAATTTTTAAGCCTAAATGTATAGCTCTATCTTAAAGACTTAATTTTTTGTGAATTATAATCCAACTATTATAATTGTAAATAGTTACACTGAGAGTTGTTCAACTGACAAATGAGAAATCAAGTATCAAGCATGCATATACTGTATACCTATTTATCTTTTATATAAATAACATTTTATTTCTAACAGAAATAAATAAATTTATGTGTAACTCAGAGTTGGCATATTGTTCAAATTATCTAAATTAGGTTGCAAACATTTTATCACCATGCTAGCTAACATCATTAGTACTGGAGACGTAGGAACTGAGGTTCCTTGGTTAGTTATATCCATGCTTGGGAAATTACATCTTTGGATGTTAATTTGCATGTGAATTAAGTATTTGGTTGTATTTTTTTACAGGTTTTAAACTGATATTTATTTATTTATTTATTTATTTATTTATTTATTTATTTAATATAGCCACCCAACTCTGTTACTCTGGGTGACATACCCCCTTCAAAATCCTAAACAAAATAGTAATCATAAACATTTGGATTAATAGAAATAATCATTAATATGTATCCCAACTCACATTCCTACACTCAAACTGCCCCAGTGTTTGGGTAAGTAGCCATATTTTTAAAGTCTTTCTAAAGACCAGTGCAATTAGAGTCACCCAAACCACTTATGTGTCCATTAATGATAGGTTGGTTGGAAACTCACAGACTTTTTAAGAATTGTGTAGCAATTTTGATGTGTTCTAAAATTCATACTATTTCCCACTGGGAAGTTGTCTAGGGTTGTGTGAAAGGTTAGCGATGTTAGCTTCATGTCTTTTTACAGATTTGTCCTCATGGAATCAGTTTTGCTCTGTTCTTCCACTGAAAAGATCCAAAGGGCAAATCTCTCTAATCAAATGACTTCTTTTTCAAACAACTCAGGACAAAAGGAGGTCAGAATTAAAAGCAGATTTAGACACCAATTCTCAGTTTTCAGGGTTTTAACAACAAAGAAGTAGCAATTAAAACAATTCAAGGATAAGAGGGATTTAAGCTGCTGCGTTCACAGCTGTACTAATGGGGTGGCTCTCTTATTTCCTCCTGTCACCTAAGGCTGATGGATGAGCTGCTGCCAATTGTTGGAAGGAGGAGCCTGACAGAACTGGCTGGATTTTTCTCCTTTTACCACAGCCTGATAAAGTGGCTGTTCTTGAGGCATTTCTTTGCTAATAACAGCAGGCTGACTATCTACATATTTAGATTCCCTCTGCCTCCTAGACTGCTTTTCTTTTTTCACTATTGGATCTAGGAATGTTCCCTGAGGAAGATACTCCTTCGAGATAGCTTCTGAGATCTGCAAGTGAACGTGGCACACCGCCCAGAGGCTACCACAGGAGGACAAATTATTCATTGAAAAGATCACTGGGGGGGAGATACTTCCAATGTAATCTACCGAACCCCCTGCATGGATTGCCCCTGTGACTATATAGGATAGACAGGGAGGAAGCTAATCATCAGTTTGCAAGAACACAGGTGAACGGTCAGCTAAGAAGACCAAACTCATTGATAGCCTCACACTGCAGTGAACAAGGGCATACATTCAATTTTGCAGATACTAAGATTGTTGGACAAGCAGGCACAAAAACAGCTAGGGAAGTGATTGAAGCCTGGAAAACGGGCCTCTCATCTGTCAACAAGTGTTAATTTGCCACCAGCTAATCAAATACTTAGAAAGTGAGGGTTGGGCATAAACATAAACAAACAACAGCCAATGACTTAATAGCCAGCCATCAACATACCCCAATCAATATCTAAAATGCTACATACAACAGGCACACATACACAGAACAACATACTCCCTGAAGATGGGCTCCAACATGAGCCTGAAAGCTCAGAACACAAAACCTCTGGTACTGATGACCAACCCAGATTGGATAGAGATCCAGTCCAAGAATGTGTGAATAATGACTGAAAAAATGCCACAAGATATGGAATATAACAAAAGACAATCTCTTACAATAAAAGACGGCTCCCAAAACATCAGCCAGTTCCCAGAGACAAGGCAATGGCACCCCAGAGGGCAAGTTCCACAATAAAAGTCCCAAGGTAGGACTGACGAAGAGGTTTTTTTTTTTTTGTTATTTTCAAATGTACAGTATATTGTTCAGATGTATGGCAGTTCTTTGGAGGCATCAGGTCAAGGGTGAAATTCTACTGATTCGGATTGGTTCAGGTGAACTGATGGTTACGGTGTGCATTTGGCACCGCCCACCCACCCCTGCTCTTTCCTGTGCTTTGTTTTTTAAGAGCACAGCTGATTCACATGGCAGAGCGATTTGCCACACCTCCGCTGTTTTATTCACAGGGGCTACAGTAGAAGGTTAAGTATTAGAGCTGCAAATAAGCTTTTTAAAATGCTGTGCACGGTGCACTCACCAAACCAGTTGTTACACCGGTTGAATCGCATCACTGCATCAAGTAGAATGAGGAACTGTGCATGATGGACATCTCACTTCAGTTTTTTCTAGAACTCAAATTTAATCTGGCCAGTTAAAACTGTGAGTTGGGTAAATATGTGTGATGCACAAATATTAGCTTTTAATTCAGAAAGTGAACTATAAACCTATATTTGATTGTATGTGTCTAGATCACTAGATAAAAAGAACAAGTAACTGCAAGCTTTACAACTCTTGGTGTGAGAAATTATCCTGCATTGGTGTGTCTATATGTCCAAGAATGTCCTTGGTGTCAGCTGGGCAGTGTGCAGTATTTGTGAGGATGGGCCTGATCCTGGAACCTGGATCACATACAAGCTGCCATTTGAAGTGGACTGTTTGTAATCCTCAAGACTTGAACCTTTAAGCCCATTAACCAAAAAGAGATCCAAATAATTATCCAAGAATGACAATCAACACCTGCTCAAGTATGGCAGGAAAGAATCTCCTGAGTCCACGCTGCTCTCCACATTGGGACATATTTTTTCTTTAAAGCTATCTTATAGTCAGGTGGTTGGACACTGATACAGATAAATTTTTGGTGATGATGTGATGAGGATTTATATGTACATATAAAAACACAAGTAAATATCTCTAACACACCAGCAGAAGCAAACTCATTTTTCTTCCATGTTATCACAATGCCAAAGACCACTTGTTCAGAGTACTTAAAAAAAGAAACACCGAAAGATATCAAACGATCTCGTGATACCCGACAAAGCAGTTGTATTAGACTGGCATGGTAGGAGAATGGGAGAAAATCAATTGTAGGCTTCACTGTGATCTACCTGACCACACAACAGCCCTCCATCACAACGTCCTAAAGTCCGGGATCTAAAATTAGCTAATTGCCCTCAGATAAAGAAGGTGCTGCCAGTTGAACAGATTAACAGTTGGAAAGGATCTTGTAGGTCTAGTCCAATCCCACCCCCCACCCCTAAGCAGGAGACTCTACACCAGGGGTGTCAAACTGGCAACCCATGCGCCAGATGTGTTACGTGCAAGCCATGCCCATCCCAGCTCTGTGAATGGGAAAAATAATATTGCAAAATGTCATGTGAGGGCAAAGTGACGGGACACGTTTGACACCCAGACATGTTTGACACCTGTGCCCTACACCATTTCTGACAGATGGCAGTTCAGTCTCTTCTTGAAAGCCTCCAGTGAAGCTCCCACAACTTCCAAAGGCAAGCTGTTCCATTGGTTGATTGTTCTCACTGTCAAGAAAACTTCTCCTTATTTCTAGGTGGAATCCCTCCTTGCTCAGTTTCCATCCATTGTTCCTTGTCTGGCCGGTGTCTTGGGAAATAGCTGGACACCCTCCTCTCTGCGGCAGCCCCTCAGATATTGGAACGCTGCTATCATGTCTCCCCTTCACGAGACTAGCCATGCCCAGTTCCTATAATGCGAAGCAACCTCCCGGTTCCACGAGAGCCGCATAACGTCGGGACTGCCAATGAAAGATGAGGGTCAGCGGATTAGGATCGCGGCATCCGCCCTTTGGGGCGGGATGTCTGTCCTTGCCGGCGCAACAAAGCAAGCAACGCCTCTTTTAATTTGGTTGCCAAGCCTCTCCTCTAGGCTTCACTTCTGCTACCACGTGCGTGTCGCTTCGCTCGTGGGTTCTCCCAGCCTGGGGCTGGCGCTTTGCCAAGCAACGGGGCTTCTCCGCGCGACTCTTGCAATTAAAAGCCAAAGCGGGCTTGGGCTAAGGAGCAGCGCCGGAGAGCAGCGGCGCACGCCCGTCTGCAGCTCCCGTGCCCGCAGAGGGTTGGCGGGCGAGAGCCTGGCCAATCGCGAGCTTTGCCATTCCGAGCTTTGCCATTTCTGCGTGCGTCTTTTAACTTTCCAAAGAAAGCGAGTTGGCTTCTGGTTTGGGTCGGTCGCGGTTTCCTCGCGGAAAAAGTTTTGGCGATCTGCTGCGGGAGAGCGCTTTCCCAGCGGCGAAGTCGGCAAATGAGCGTTTAAAGGGGCCGTTGGATTAAGGCGGCGGGGCGGGAAAAGAAGCGCCGCGGCTGAGGGAGGAGAACTGGGCGCGGCGTTGGCGGGGCGGCTTGAAGCAGTCGGCGGAGCTGCACTCGGATGGGAGGATGGAAATGAAGAACATGGATCATTACCTACGCCGTCTGAAACAAGAGTTGGTAAGGCAGTAATGGGGAAAGAAGGGAAGGCGATTCTGAGTAAACCTTGCAAACTTAACGCGCGTCACCCTCTTTGCAACTTTCTAGGTACTTCCCTGGCAAGAGATTATTAGCAATGGTCGCGCCAATAAGTAATGAAATCATGCGCTTTACTGCTACATTACTGTTAGATCGATCTACCGATCGTAGTTTAGCTCCCGCCCCAACACATGCACACCCCTTTCATTAAAATGCATATTTTCCAAGCTTTGTTAGAAAAATTATCCACTGGCCTTTATCTCAGGTGTGCAAAAAAGGATGCATCGTCAACCCATTCATGGTTTTTAAAAACTCTTTTGGAATTTTCCTTTGACATGAAAATTAAACCTAGTTGCCTCGGATAGGTATTTGGTGAACCATATTGGAGGAGGGAAGTGGCAATATACAAGTGATGAAGACATTGCTACAAAAAGCCAGAATCCTAAACTTTCCTACTCAGAATTTATCCTCCTCCTCATCTTTTGCCTATTCTTGTAGAGGGAGAGCTTCTGCTAGTATAACAGACCTATACTAGCAAGTTTGGTTACCCATTCAGATAGCAATCAGTTGTAAATTGGAAAGTATCTAACTAGAATGATTAATTGACATCATAATGCATCCTGTTGCTCAGTCCTTTGACATTATTTTATGTTTAACAAGCAATTCTACTTGGAGCAAAACAAAAACATTGAATCATCACACTCTAAATAATCTTACTTCATTTCTTTCTTCCTGATAGGGATGCATTATTAAGGCTTACAAAACACAATCTTTCAATTTTTTTTTGCATCATATGACCCTGATTCAAGTATTGCATTTTGCTTTTCAGAGCACAGATATGTCTTGTACTTTGCAGATATTTGGGGGGTGGGGAGATATTTTATGTAATTATGGGGGTTCTTTCAAATCCTCTGAAGACAATTCTGAAACCCTTACATATTCCAGTTGATATTTTCTTATTATTAGCTGCCTCTGAGAAGCTTCCTTTCTTGTTTCATATTGCATAAGTTTCCATTGTGTCATTTTTATGCAAAGGAGCTGCCTAGGTCTGCTTAAGTGCCCATCCTGGAAGAAACAAAATACCACTTGATTGGTATCCTGCAATATATTTAGAAAGTGCTTCTAAACAGTTGCACTTTTTGAAAAAGGTAAATTTAATTACTCCACACCTCAACTGTCTGAGTTGGTTTTATTGTTGTTGTTGTTGTATTTTATAAATGAAAAACTGAATTGTCACAATAAATTGGATATTGTGATTTCCTAAGATGTGCAGTGGACACATCTTTCAATTTCACATCTGAAGTCCTCCTAAACAGACTTGAAAATGGTTGTGTAGATCTGTATTGAATTAATTCAACTGCATTGAATTAATGCAGCTATATGTTATAATTGGAGAACTCTGGAATGCCAGCAGATTTCCACAAAAGGAAGATGCAATTATTGGCAACTCATCACTCTATCCTGCAATGCATTTTAGCTTCCCCACAATCAGTTTTTAACGTCTTATATGACTTGTCCTTGCCTGTTTTATCCATATTTTAGGCAGATTCGCCCTTCTGGAGGGAAGCGAGTCAGCTTTTTTCTCCACCCAGACTTTTCTCTTTTAAGGGCTTGCCTACTTTGCTCTGCAAATTGTTTTACGTCTTCATCTGAAGTACAGTCATAGTACTATGATGTGGATGCTGTTTTACAGTCTCTTTTTCTTAACCCTTTCACCACAATCCTATGAGGTAGATCACCTCTACGTTATTATTATCTGGACAGTACTTTGTCTGATACATTACTCATGTCTTGGACATCAACCCCCATAACCTGTCAGGCAGCTTAATTGGGAACAAGTGGGGTTGAAGATTAGTTTCCCTGGAGAACGCCAGTTTGGGGAAGGGCGCTGTACTGATTAATATGTGTGTACAGTTTCATATCTATATAGTATACCTAGATTGATACTTGTATATCAGTGAAGTGAGGCACTTTTGTTTGTTTAACACGTTTATGTAGCTGCCCATAACCAAGCCAGGGTGGCTCCCAATCACCTTCCTAGTCCAAATAGTAAATTGACATTACTCAACTGCATTGTGTGAGCTCCAGTTGTTGCTTCCATTGCAGTAGAAACAAGAGCTCCTTTGGGTGGTATTTTGTTCTGCCTGTTGAGGATCTACCCTTTCTCTCTGCTGCTTCTCAGACAGAAGCCTTGCTGTGACAGGCTTAAGCTTTCCTACCAGCAGATGCTTCCTTCTGGTGTCCTAGTTTTTATACTAATGGATTAGTAATGAAGATTCAGGATGCTCTTAAATAAAGTATTTGCAAGTCCAAAAGAACAGGATGACGAACAAGAAGAGACATGGGGAGTATATGTCTCTAATGAATAAATAATAAGAACTGCAGGTTTTAGGGTTCTTTTTTTTAAAAGTAAAGGTTACGTAGGAGTCATTATGAGAGGAAAGCTTTACAATTCAAAAGGCTGCTTTCCATCCAAAAGATTACTATCACCACAGAACAAACTCCAAGCAGAGCTAGATGAAACTAGAATTCAGAATGGATTTTAGTGCTTTAACAGTATAATCTGCTACAGATTTAATCATATTGCACACTATAAAAATCATTTATTTCAGAGCAGCAATTCTGCAAGTCTGTTTCTCGCATTCACTCAGATGCTTTTGGGCTAGGGTGCAAAGCATTTAGAGGCCCATTCACCAACCACTGTGATGTATGTCTGTCACAGAATGGGAATTGCAATAATGGGCTATTGTCAATTTCCAAAAGGAAACAAATAGATACAGAATAAAGCTAGTGCAAAACAAAAACAGAAACATGTTGTACTTAGGAAAAGTGCAAAAGCCCAAGTATAATGTTTGTTTATTTATTTCTTTGTATCCCATCTTTATTATTTTACAAATAGCTCAAGGTGGCAAAATGGTTTTAAATCCTGTAATGTAAAAGGTTCCAGTAATCACAAGGTAACCCTAAGCTCATTTAAGGACTGAAGTTACCAAATACTAGCAGGATATTCCTTACCCTTGTGTGTGTATGTGTGTGCTTACCCAGGAAAGGAAGAGAGAAATGCGGAATGAGGGAGTAGAAGAATGATATAAAAATTGATCCACATTGTGTCAGTAGATCCATTCTCTACACATTAGTAGTTGTGTTCTTTATAGCCATTAGTCCCTAGGTCTACTGGCAACTGTCCCATATCTCTCATGCAGAGACAGATAATGACTTGTATCAAGACAGTTCTTCAATTATTGGCCACTCCTTCCACATATTTATACAGACAAAACATGACCGTCATATCTTCATTCCATTTTTTTTCCCCAGCAGTGTGGCCGGCAATAATTTGCTGTTAACTATCACTATTTCCTAGGCATTCTCCTAGCATGATTTTATTCTTTGTAGATTTTTCACAACTACCATTTTATAAACACAGTTTGCACCAAAGAAAAGAAAGCACCCTATACCCACATGGCTCCCTGGACAGGATGTCCTCAGGATGCCAAGTAGGGGAGCCTGGAGGTATCCAAACTGGGTGTGATCCTCTTACCGTAAGTATCATCCAGTATTGCCTCACTCTACATGTTTGGGAAGTTTGAGTACCAACACACACACATACATTCAGAGATGACTATAACCCTATTTTACATGATCTGTTAGCAGAGAATAGTTGTATGGAAATGTAGATATAAGCTATTCTTACAATGTTATATCACTGGGACTTCTACTGAACTAAATCCAGGGAGGTTTGGAACCAAAGAAGCACTTCTTTACACAATGAACAAACTGGAATTCACTGCATTAGAAATAGAGATGTACACCAGTTGAGGCATTTATGAAAGAGCAGTTTTACAGAGAACTGGGTTTTTAATGTCTATGAGCCTTGATGATTGCTGATTACCTAAAGAATTACAAGTAGCATACTTAAAATACTCTCTGTTGAGGAAAAAAGCTATTACATTTAATCCAAAAATGTTGGGCTAAAAGCAATGTTGGTTTGACCTAATAGGCCTCTCCTTATTTTCTTAAGAGAAAGAATATTTGCCTTGCAGGCACCACAGAAGCCTAACCATTTAGTCTCATCAGCAGACAAGAATTTGATACATCATCCTTCCCAATACTGTATTATAGCTACAGGAAGAATTCAGCCAAGAACTCATACCTTGTTAGGGCACCGAGTTCATCTGATCATAGAAAAGGTGGGAAGATTTCCTTCACATATCCAGGCATATTTGAGTTAATCAGGTGAAGCAACCACCCTGTTCCATCTTCAGGAAACCAGGCCCTTTCTCTCCCTCCGGCAATGATATGATCAATGACGCATTAGTTTACGTAACCTAATCCTATTGGATAGTAAGATTCTTGCTCCATTGTCTTACTCATTATTATTAGCATTCTGTAATATTGCGTGTTAAGATAGAAAGGCCTTTTGTCTTCATGCCTTCTTCCTCTTTGGAGCCAGATAAACTGATCAGGCAGAGTAAGCAGAACTAGCTTTAGAGTAGGCACTGACCGAATGTGCCAAAGCTTAGGGGCTAGCAAGTCCATCCCTCCATCTAAGTTAATCTAAAAATGCAAAGCTTTGGCGTTGATGGGAGATGGCACCAGCAGTCAATGTGGCCTGGGATGCTAAATACCCTTGAATCAACACTGAAGGAAAGGGAACTAAATTCCAATTTATCAGGACAAGGGAAGAAAGTCCTTATCAAGATGAGTGAGTGGGATATGGGATATCCTTATCATGGTGAGTGGGATATGGATACAGACTAAAGCAATAAAAGATAGGATGCAAGTGTGTTTATCATCTCTGATGCTTGTGTGCATTTTAGCTTTTCCATGAGAATTATGTTGCTATCTATCACTAGCACTGATGATGTTACCTAGTTAGGGTAATGAAAGGCCTGCAAGAAAGCTCAGAGAGCACCACCTCATTTTAATCCTGAGCTACAAATATTCTCCTTTGTTGTTATCTATCTGGAATTTTCTGCTAGCAT